GTTTTAACACGCCACTAACTCCGTCTGAATTACTTAGACTCTTATTAAACCGCTTCTCAACCGCTCGTAAATTTTCCGAACTGCCGTTGTTAAAGTCACTGGAGCGTCTTACACAGCGTCCAGGATGTAGGAGTGAGAGTATCCTCGTGGCTATATCCACAGATCAACATCCTCTTGTTTTTCCAGGTGTCTGTACGGAGAGAAAAAAACACTGTATATAATTAAATAAGTGATAATCACTATTATAATGAAATAAATATCTTTAAAAATGTTTTTCGGTAATTTTTCTGCGATCACTCGTCATTAACGCGGTTTTATATTCAATGAAAGGTGGAAAAAGTGCGTCTCGCAACCATTTTTTGGGCTTCATTACCATTTTTCAATTTTTTTCTTCAATTTTCTTTATTGAAAATTTGGGAATACACTCACTATGACAACAGATTTGTTGAAAGTCTCTTCCTGAAGATAAATTGAACGTGACGTACTTAATTATAAATTCAAGGTGAGCTTTTCCAATCTAAACATTTCAATTGCTGCGTTTTTCAATTATTCCAGTTTTAATTATCTTTTCCTTTTTCCAAGTCTCTTTCAAGTTTCTCTAATCTTGCCTCTTTTAACTTCAAAAGAAATTGGCTTCTATGCTAAATGAAATGTAAAGGAATTGTGTCTCATTGTTCTATGAGCATTTTTAATTTTTATTCGTCAGTTGTACACGTCAGAAATTTAGGAATACATATTATATAAGAGACCATTCGTTGAAAGTCTTTTTCTGAAGATAAATTGAACGTGAAATAGTTAATTATTCATTCAGAAGAAGCTTTTTTAATGGAACAAATTCAATTCCGTATTTTTCTCTTATTCCATTTTTAATTATTTCTTTCTCCTCCCAAGTCTCTTTCAAGCTTCTCTAATATGGCCTCTCTTAACTTCAAAAGAAATTGGCTTCTTTTCTAAATGAAATGTAAAGAAATTATGTCTCACCATTTCATAATCATTTTTTAATTTTTTCTTCAATTTTTGTCATCACAAATTTGGGAATTCATATTATATGACAACTGATTTGTTGAAAGTCTCTCCCCGAAGATAAATTGAATGTGAAATATTTAATTATAAATTCAAGAGGAGCTTTTCCAAACGAACAAATTCAATTCCGTGTTTTCCTATTATTCCACTTTTAATTATTCCTTTCTCCTCCTAACTCTTTCAAATTTCTTTCATCTTGTCTGTTTTAATTCCCCAAAAAATTAGCTTCTACACTTAATAAAATGTGAAGAAATTATGTCTCATTCTTCCGTGATGATTTTTCAATTTTTTTTCTTCAATTGTGTTCATTAGAAATTCAGGAAAACACATTATATGAGAACTGATTTCTTGGAAGTCTCTCCTTGCAGATAAATTGAACATGAAATGCTCTAATTATAAATGGCATTTCGTATTTTCCTGTTATCCCACTTTTAATTATTTCTTTCTTTCTATTTCTCCCAACTCTCTTTCAAATTTCAAGAAATTTACTTCTATAATTAATAAAGTCTAACGAAATTATGTCTTATTATTTCATGATCATTTCTAAATTTTTTCCTTCAATTACCTTCATTAGAAATTTGGGAATTCACATGATATGACAACTCATTCGTTGAAAGTCTCTCCCCAAAGATAAATTGAAAGTGAAATATTTAATTATAAATTCAAAAGGAGCTTTTCCAACCGAACAAATTCAATTCCGTATTTTCCTATTATTCCACTTTTAATTATTTCTTTCTCCTCCCAACTCTCTTTCAAGTTTCACTCATCTTGTCTGTCTTCACTCGAAAAGAGATTGACTTTTATGTTTCATTTAAATCCCCGGCCCCTCTGCTCCAGAAAATAATTCGCAAGATACGGAGCAAGGAAACCCCACTGAATAACCCAGAAACTCAGGAATAAAAAAGAAAAATTCCGAGAGAAGGTATTCAACTCCTGGGATATTATTTCGATTCTCCTGGAGTAAAATTCATGAAAAATCTGAGGCGGAAAATCTCACCGAGACGGTTCGCCAGGGTCTATCATTATTTTTTCCCCTCGTGTCAGTGGATGTTGAGGCACAATCTATCATTCTCATGCCTCAGCATTCTCCAGTTTTTCGCTCGCAGTCCACCGTAGATTCTCGACCTTTCGCATCCGTTTTATCTGTCACATCACTTATCCCCCCAACGGACCATGGGCGCTGGGCCCTCCGTCTCACTCTATTTCCCTCCTATTCTCATCCCCACACCGGATCCCGGTCTACTCCCAACTTCATTTGTATCGTTTTTTAGTTCCTCGTTATTTCCCAGTTTGTCTTTCTTCAATTTTCGGTGCATTCCTTGGAAATTTTTGTCACAAATTTTTGTGATGGTTGCCTGAAAATCAGTGGCATTATAGTCCGAAAATCAGTAAGAATTGCTCGGAAAATTAGTGACGATGTTACACTGTTGAAAAAAATTGAAATTGCGTGGACAGTCGACTAGTAATTTTCAGGAGAGTGACATTGAATGGCATTTAAGGGAGAAAAAATTATGAAATTTCTGATTTCACTTAAAATTCAATGAAATTCCAAAATTCGGAACAGCATTAAGATGAGGATTCCTCAACCTAGTTGAATTTTCAATGTAATCATGAATATTCCGTACTGAATTAATTAATGGAAAATTTAAGAATATATTAACCGAAAATTTTCTGATTTCTACGAATTTTCTAGGAATAATTTAAGTGAAATTTACAGTTATTGTTGATTTTTCCATAAAACTCTGAATTTTCAATGATGAAATTCCTTGAAATTTCAGTGGAACTAAAATGTGATAAAAATTTCCGAAAAGTGTACCGGACATTTCAGCCAACAATTTTTAACAGTGTACACAGTTAAAAAAATTTGACTGAATTTTCCAGAGAAAGACCTTGAATTCGATTTAAGCGAAAAAAATAATGAAATTTCAAGTTTCTCTAAAAATTTAGATAAAGTCACAATTTTTTAGCTGCAGGAAGACGAAAATTTCATAATTGACGTGAAATTTCAAGTGAAAGTGAATGTTCACCGCCAAATTCCTTCAATTTTGAAGGAATTTGGAAGGAATTCCCTGAAAATTCTGAGGAATCTAGAACTCGAGGAGAAATTTCTGTGAATTTTGCTGATTTTTCAGTAATTTTTGCTGAAGAATTAAACTGAAACTTACGGTTCTCACGGATGTTCCCATGAAATTATGAATTTACAACGACAAAATTCCTTGAAATTTCAGTGGAAATGGTTACCTGTGAGAAATTTCCAGGACTTACCGAAAATTTCAGTGGAAAATTTTTAACAGTGGACACTCTTGAAAAAATTTACCTGTATTTTCCACAAAAAGACCTTGAATTCGATTTAAGGGGAGGAAGTCGATGGAAATTCAAGTAAAGTCCTAATTTGTTAGCGGCACGAAGACGGAATTTCACAATTTACATGAATTTCCAAGTGAAGATGAATATTCGCTGCCAAATTCCTTTGAATTTCCAGGGAATTTCTTCGAATTTCTCCGAATTCCAAAAATTTTGAAAGAATTTCCTGAAAATTCGGAGAAATCTGGAGTTCCAGTAGAGATTCCCCTGAATTTTTCTGATCTCTCACTAATTTTCCCGGAGTAGTTGAACCGAAGTTTACAGTTCCCCGTATTTTCCCATGAAATTTCATAAATTCATGGAATTTCAATGACAAAATTCCTTGAAATTTCATTGGAAATGTTACTAACTAGAAATTTCCAAGCCTCACCGGAAATTCCAGTGGAAACTTTTCCCAGTGTACCCTTAATTCCCGTCATCAGATAATCCAAGACATTTCGTACTCCCCCACCCCCAATCGTCCTCTCCCCTGTGACGTCTGCCACCCGACATTCCAAGATATTCCTACAGTTTATTCCCCCTCGAGTACATCGCACTAAAAACCTCCTGCGCGCCTTCTCCCAGCCACCCCCCCCGGATCCCCTCGCCTCCACCACATCTCTCTGTCAAGATATTACACCTTAAACTAATGTATTCACGTTTTGTGAATATATTCCACCGTGATAACATTTTCATCCAAACTTCGGGCGAAAATTTCGGCTGAAACTCGGCAAGTTGCACATCGGAAAATTCATCACTCCCGAGTTTATGAATAATTCAACTGCGAATTTGTTTGATGAATGATATGTACCCAGTGTTTAGCTCCCCTCGAAATTAACTAATGACTCCACAAAGCAATATAAACTTGCCGATGCTCGGTGAGTGACATTGCAGTTGAATATTTTGAAATTGTCATAGTTGGATGGTGTACTCGAGGGGATGCCAGCCGGTCCAACGTGTTCTCCCCCTCGGACGACAGCTGTTGCTTCGATAATTGCAAACTTTCCCCCAGGATAAAGACAAAGTATTCTTCGTTTTTTCTTCACAAGTTGTTCCCTAATTTGAGAGATCCTTTGTGTCGCCCTGCTTTGTCGCCGTCCAGGGCCGTTATTTTCCCGGGAATCCTACGACTACGGAGATTTTACGCATTTGCTGACCCAGTCTGTTTTTATTATGAGAAACGAGCACACACTTGGCTGCCCCAGTCAGCAAATGCCAGGCCGTTATGTCTCTCACCGGGTTTTGTTTGCGTTGACGAATGCAGCCAGCTGGGGATAAAAATTAGAGTAGAAAATGGAGATGAAAAAAAAATAAGTCACTGGTGCAAATAAAAATACAAGGATCTACTTGTTAAAGAGGGAACGACCTCCGGAATTTCCCCAGCCTAGACTGGATTTTTCGCTTCTCTGAAGGGAGAAGATATTCAGAATTTTTTATTTGAGAATTAAACACTCGTTTTTTTTAGCAATTAACTCGGAGTTTTAGATCACTTGAGGACTGAAAAGTGTAACTGGGAAAAAGTAGTGATATTTGAAAGTTTGAGGGAAACTCAGGAGTCGTTTTGTCCTCTTTTATGGAGGATAAAATGTTGGTAACGTAATTTTAAAGAAACTTTTTCAATTGTTTTGTTGCAGAGACGGAGAGAAATGTCGGAGCGAGCCCGACGGATTTACGGGAACAAGTAGTCACTCCCGTCGTCTCGGCAGCCTCGATCCCACCAGCCAATACTAGCCAGGAGACAGTGTCGACATCGGCCTCAACCCTTGTCGCTGGCCTCGACAAATCAGTTCTTCAGGTATTCGTGTTTGTTTTTTGTCAATACTGGTTCGGTGAAATAACAACTCTAGCCAAAATAAGTCTCCGGTTGACAACTCTATCCGTCTTTAGGTGTATCATAACAACTCTATCGAAATAGAATTAGGTGGAATTTTTTCTGGAAATCTATAGGGATTAATTTTTTGGTGGTATTGTCTTCGGTTATACCTTAATTCCCTTTTCTTGTTCATTTAGCAGAAAAAGAAATTTTAGCAGAAAAATTTGAAAAAAAATTCAGGGTTTCGGAAAAGTCATATTTGAAAACAAAATTCATGCTCCGAAATTTTGAAATTTTTTTGAACTACTACTTTAAGGATATTCAAGTAGTTCAGGCAATTTTTTGTGAGGGAAATCCTCTTCAGGGCTTATAGAATAGACCAAGAGTATTTTTGCGGCGCAAATCCACTTTAGTTTCCGAGCATTTTTTTTCGAGAAAACGATTTTTTGAAAAATATTCAATTGATTGAATGCATAAAATCGTCAATCTTCCTACCTCAATTATTGATTGTTAAAATAATTAAAAATTTGAATATTTGAATTGGTGATAAAAATTATACTTAGGTAATCAAAAAATTTAAGAGTGATCTTAACTAATTGATGGGTACAATATTTAACGGTAATTAAATATTATGGATTTGGCTATCCCTGCCCCGGTGATCTACACACGAAACACCTTAATTGGTAGAAATGATGTTGAGTAGAGTTGCGATGGCTTGGGAATTTAGGGTAGCTATGACCACCGATAGAGTTGTTATTACCATTTCTGAAGATGGATAGAGTTGTTAACCTGCGGCTTGTTTCAGCTAGAGTTATTATTGTACCTTTTCTATCAATACTGATTCAATCAAATTGCACCCTTTAATTTAACCTTTTCTTTTGAACTATTATCGGAGTTTCTCGGGCTCTCATTTGAATTGAACTTTCTCCTTTAAACTTTTATTTCATTTCCTTACAAAATTTCCCGAGTCAGGAGTGGAAAAAGTGACGTAGAATACTCGAACGGTTTTATTATAAAATTCAATCGGAAGGGGAGCAATCAGAGAATAGTCAATCGAGTTACGATTGAATTGCTCCAGGGTCTTCAGTCCGACAAATAATAAAATTGGAAGAATATATTGTACAGAGGGAGGATTATATGGCTGGTGAAATCCTGTGAGTGTGTACAGAAACAATTGAGGGAATGATTTTATGGATTCCAGAAGAATCGGTTTTGATTGGGATGTTGAGTGGATTGGAGGTTCATCCGGAAAAATAACGCATTTGAAACTAACAGGAGTCTATTAAAACTTCGTTTATTCAATCCAACAATATTTTTTTTTGGTGATTAATTAACTGATATATTTATTTCGATGAAAACGTTGGAATTGTATGAAATGGATAATTCACTAGTCGAAAATAAATCCTCTATTAAAATTAAATGAACTATTCATTTGATTCAAATGAAGGATGATTACATATTAATAAATTCGATAATAACTAATACTGTTGGATTTTTTTGGAATTCTAGCAATAGTTGCATTTGAAATTTCATTATTATAAATTTGAATTCAATTTAAGATCAAATCGGTTATGGAATTTTTTATTTGTATTGGAAAGTCAACGAGATTGGCTTTTTTATGGTAGGCGGTCATTGATATTTCAAAGACAGTTTACATTCTCAAACCCATTGTGATAATTAAATTCAATTGAAATTTTTAATGAATTTAAAATCTAAACCAATTTTTGCTTGAATTTTGACGGTTGCCGGTTATTTTCATTGTCAATTGGACACAGAGGAAAAATATTTTGACTTTCAGAGACAGTTACTTCCAGGAATCTATCACCAATTGTTGGTGATTCTGGACACTGACTAGAATGACCCCGATCATCAGTGATTTTTATCACTAAAATCTGGTGGTAGATTTCCTGGGAGATGGGTTTCAGAAAATCCGCGCCATTACTTTGAAAATTAGTGGCGATGTCAATAAAAATTGGTGACAAAATCATTGAATTTCAGTGACATGTTCCTGAATCGGCGACATGTCACAATATGTACGAAAATTTCATGCTAATTAGTCGTTGTTAAAAATTTCAAGATTTTTTTTAATTAAAAAAAAAATTTCAAGATCTTTCGCTAGAAATTTTAGGAGTAGTTCTCCTTTAAAAACTATTCATTTCATATGAATAAAAATACACATGAAAAATAAATTCAAATTTGAATAGAAGCTTCACTACGAACTATTTGAAAAACCCCATTCAGTTAATCCCAACAAACCATTTCCCTGAGTGTTGCCAGTGGTATCATTAAAAAAATCGCGAACAATCTCCTCAATTTGAGAATGCGTTTTTCTCTGTGAAGTATTTCCCAACGTTGAAACACGCCTTCACCGTGAATTCAACGTGTGATGCAGGTGAAACACAAGCCGGGGAGCAAAAAAAAGCCTGCATAAAAAAAAAGAAGAACGATAAAGTACAAAGCATTTGTCGAGGTAAATTCCCCCGAGTGCAATTCACATGGGAATTGTGATAGAAATGCCAGCGTTTTGTCTGTATGCCGCTCAAACGGCTTGAGAAAAGAAGTCTGAATCGATTTTACTCTCAAGAAGCATAACTCCTCAGTAAGCGAATCCCTGCTATCATTTTACCGTATGTAATTTTGGCCCTACGGATGTTTCGAGTTGATGTTTATGGTGGGATTCAGGGAGTCACTATCACTCCATAGTAATACCATCTTAATCAAGACGGTATTACAATGTGCAACAGGAACGGATGGAGGGGTTGAAGAGGTCTTTTGGGGGATAGTATTTGGTATTGGAGATTGTGTGGGGACGGATGTAAAGGGGGTGCGCAAGGATGAGAGAGAGCTCTCACACAGACTCTCCGGGGGTGGCTGTCTACTTGGACAACGGAGGTTTCATTTCCTGGTACTACGCCAAACTTATCTGTCGCGATTTATCGACTCCAATGTACCATCAAACTGTAAATATTCAACGTCACTCCTTCCCTTGTTGACCTGAACAGCGACAAGACCGTTGATTAACCCCTTAATTACCCCGTCTCGCTAGCTTTGCTATCAAGTTATACTCATAATTATGCTTCCTGTTTCATGCAGATCCGCGACTGGCTGACCCTCGAGGAGGAGATGCTGCGCCAGCAAAGTGTATCCGTCGGCGATGTCGACGAGATTCTCCAGCTCATCGACAAGCAAAAGGTAATATCAAAGAGATGTCTCCCAGTAACCCACTTCCGTTACCGATAAAATTGCTACCTCGGGGTATCACTGGATGGTGGGGATGCAGTGCAACGTCGGTACGTCGAACGTCGGCACAACCGACGGCCAAATTCACCCCCGAAAGAACATCGATAATGCCTCGACGCTGCAGGGGTAGAACTATCCAATTGCGAAGTTGGACGTTGATGCCCAGCGCCACTGGGGCAACTACAGTGAGGTGAAGGAACTTGGGTCGATGGTCAGGAGGACTCTGACATTGACATTGGCATTAAGTGGTCAATGACCGATGCCACGCCTTCCTCCGCGCCACAAGTATTCCTCGTGTGTGTTCACTGTTGTTTCTGGAATATGTCCCCAGGGGATTCCCGAGCTTTGCCACTACTTTTTATCAACTAGCACAGCTACTCTCATTCACACCTTTTTTTACTCGGAACTCAACGAGCCGGGGGGAATTATAGTTCAAACGAGTTTATTTCCTGGCGATAATCCTCTCATTTCCTACTTCTGAATTCAAATCTGATGACAAGTTAAATCATATCCGATTTGTTCTTCAATGAATAGATTCCCTTTTCAGATATCTTTGATGTAACGTTTTATACCTTTGTTACTCCATCCAAAGGGATGGAGACGATATTTTTTTTGTGACGTATCACACGATGTCATTATCGATGGTACTGTGTCAACGAAGCGATTACAGACGCGCAAAGGAAGAAAGAAAAAAGGATACAAAAATAATTCCGAGGTGGCGGGATGCTGCTGAGGCTATCGATTTCCAATTGAGGAAAAAGAGAGGAGGAGCGAGAGCGAGAAAAGCCCGACGGAAACTCGCGACGTATTCGTGTGCAATTCCTCGATGCCTGTATCCGCAGACTACTAAACCAGGAGAATACTCTGTCCTCCTCACTCCCTTTCACCACTGACGTATTCGCATTTTGGATATTTTGCATGACGGATCACTGTGTACAAAGTAAACTGATGGTATGTAAATCCATGTCAGCTGTATCACGAGAGCCAAAAGTGGAAAATATCTGGAGTACTTTGCGGATCGATGGAGTTTGGGGAAAGAGTTGTTGTACCAGTGTAATATTTGGTACTGCAGGGTGGATTTTTTGTGTGTAGGGTCTCAATCGTCGAGAAGAGGAGATCCAGATGATTACAGAAAAAGAGAGTATTTCCAAATTGGGACACTGTTTCTAATAATCCCAATCCGTCTTCACGAAAAATCGGGAATAATTGGAATAATCTGTCCTATGCGAGAATCTGACGAAATTGAATCTGCAAATGTACTGTTGGAAAAAATTGAAATATCGAGGAGAGTTTAGTAGTAATTCTGAGGGGAGTGACGTCGAATTCGATTTAGGGGGAAAAATCATAAAATTTTAGAGTTGACTGAAAAATTAATCTTGAAATTCCAAATTTTTGAGCAACAAAAAGACAAATATTCCCCAAATACTAATGGTCTTTGACAAATATTAATGGTCTTTGATTTTGAGTCAAAACATGACTATGAGTACCAAATTACGCAGAATTTTCAGTTAATTGCACATGTAACAATATATTCACCTGAGTTTTAATGATTTCTACCAATTTTCATGGGATACTTGACCTGAAATTTACCGTCTTCATTGATTTTTCCATGAAAATTTGAAATTTTATAGACGAAATTCTTTACAATTTCAGTAAAACTATAATGTGATCAAAATTTCCAATCAATATACCAAAAATTTCAGCAAAAACGACTCATTTACACCTTCGAATTTCATGTCCGTCGTACCTCGAAAAATGCTGGAGCAAATCCGATAGTCTTCAGACGAAGACAATTGTTTTCCGCCAGACGACATTCAAAATCTGCGCACAGATATCTATTTTCCACGGATATGTTCACCCAAGTGGCAATATAAACACGTACGATTCACCCACCTCCGGTGAATTTTATCACATTACATTGCGCGTGAGCATAAAATTGCCCATTTCTCATGAAATGCAGCGATAATATGCAAACTCCCACTCGAACCCAGCGCAAACAGAGTAAAAAAGACTACCCAATAATCACACTTACCCGGTGTTTACCAACTTCGATGGAACATTGTTAGAAAATGATGGTGTTAGAAATTTCTAGTTGACAAATGGAATTACTATGTAAATGGAAAATTTCTTGCTTTCCCCCCCAGTAAATTTCTCTACTCGTGTTAGTTAGTGCTATGGGGTGATATTCAAATTTTCCCCGCCAGCTAGCTGTAATATGAGGTTTGTATGAACGCTTCAGTGGCACGCAAGCAAATCATCGTGCTGCCCGTGTATTTCTGCGGGAGTTATGTACAGTCAGATGTTAATTGTTGCCGACTCGCTACAGTATCATCGATATCGGCCGTGTGGAGGCCCCGAGGCAAATACTTCACTCTCACGTCATGTTCATCGATGAGCAATATCAAAGTGTATACAGATATCTGCAGACATTACTACGTAAATAAGTCACGACTACTGCCTTCAACCGTCTGCTGTGTACACATAAACTCCGTAGGATCTAGTGGAGTGAATCTTCACTGGTCAGACGTAACATTTCTCGTCTCTCATGTACCTAAGTCCCAAGAGATGACAAAGTCTGGGTCATTGATGGAATTGTGACCTACCCCAAATCGTCAATTGCCTTTTTGCCACGACTAAAGATAGTTTCAACATCGTCTCTGATTTCGTCAATGAAAACGATCGTCGCAACTGCGTTTGCGCACCGAAGATTCACTGCACAGAGTGGGAATTTCCCCCATCATCGAATTAGATGCGAAAGTAGCGAGGGATGTGAACACACGACGAGTTTATGAAGCTCAACCTTGTGAAGGTTATTGTTGTTGGACTGTCTACCTCAACGATTCTTCAAGACCATCTGGAAAACGACGATTCTACAGCATCTCCAACAAAGGGATGTGTCCTGGTGGCAGAAAATTACTCAAACTTTGTGTATCTGATTCAAACCGACAATTGTTCGCAACTTCCACTGAATATCGCCCTCTTCCGCCGTGTGAATTTTCCGGCAACGTCGAGCTTGAATCTCCATGGGATATACAGGCGCGTGGAGAGATGTTTCGGGACTGGCACCCTCTGCGTTTACAGCCCTTGAATACCACCAGCTATTCTCCTGCCGGTCAGTGTTCTGACGGATTTCATCCGTAATGCACGCACTTTGATGCGGCATTTCGGCTAAAGCGGGTTAGCTTTAGATCGGCTTTAGTGAACTATATCCAAAGCCTGATCATGCACCATCTGGTGCACCCACTAAATTATCCAGGATCTCTTGTACTTTCAATAATGCTTACATCAGAGTCATGTGAATTTCGTAAACACTATCCTATTACGCTGATTGGCTGATGAATTATTAAGCATTCACTATCTCGAGACTCTCTCGGTATATTTCCGTATTATAACAAAGCCCGGAGTGCCTGTTTTATCCTCATAGTGGAGGAGGAAATCTTTCTCATTGGATTTTAAGTGTTAACTGCGGTGTATTCGCAACAATGGATCCAAACGGAGCACAACCTGGCACCTCGGCAACGCCCCTTTATACCGGCACGTTGCAGCTTCGCTTTAGCGTAAGTCAAGAAGGCAGAGGGGGAGGAAAAAAATGGCAAACGTTGGGTGCTTTGATATACCTCGGAGCACTTGTGGGAGAAAATTGTCACCAGACGATATTCAGCAAGAAAAATCCACCGGACAGTCAAAGTGCTAGTGATGCCGTTGAGACTAGTCGAGAATTATTTTGAAGAGATCATCACGGTTTGGAAAAACATTGAAAGTTTTCGCAATCGTCACAATCTCGAAAGACATTGGATCGGTGCATCTCGTCACAATTCCGGGACGATTTATCTTGCCTGGATCTCGAGATTTTCGGTTTTTAAGTTCACGAGACGAGACGAGACAGATATCGAGACAAACATTTGAAGAACAGAAAATACTGAAACTCAGGCGTGATGGATTCTTCCAAGTTCGTGACGAGATGCACCGATCCAATGTCTTTCGAGATTACGTCGATTCCTTAACTTTCGATTTTTTTTTGACTGTGATGATCTTGTCAAAATAATTCTCGTCTAGTCTCGACGGCATCACTACGAAGTGCTGTTGAGATAGCTCATTGGACTAATGCTTCGTCTTCCAAGTTGTTTGCTCCAGCTCCTCTGCATTCACTCAAAACTGAAACATTGCAATTTTCATGATCATTCGGCATGGAGTCGGCAGTGTGCAGCCAAATGATATGAAAAATTGACTATAACAAGAGAGACTGAAGGGAACTGAGTTGATACGTACGCGTCTTGAGAGCGCAATACGCTTCAGAGAGTTTCATTGAATAATGCATGAACCGATCGAGTGACTCAGGTCACCCCCTTCACCGTCGTCCTAATCCTCCTTAGTCTTGTGTCTCATCTTTTTCTTCATGGTGACTCTTCTCACCTGACGTGAACGCCTGGAGGAGGCGCCGTTCTCGAATAATGAACGATATTGCCCCGTAAGATGCATCACGTCGCTTATGAGCGCATATTTCATAGTTGAAAAAGTTGTTGCCGTACGACCAACTTTCTTGGTCGTTTATCATGGCAAGATTCTCAGAGCCTCGCCTCTTTCTGTCCTTTTTATCATCCACAATGAGGGGGTCGTAAAAATTTTAGTCGACCATGATGTTATTCCGTTTGTGGATTCCACACGGTAGATTTAGAATGAGAGTCACATCTCTTTTCAACTCGTTCTTTGCATTTTTATAGCGGGTCGATCGATTTTTCCATCCCCTGAAGTTACAGAAATGGCCAGTTGATGACACAAATAGAAAATCTAGTTGAAAAAATAAAAGGAACTGATGATGTTGAACATCGGGGGCAATTCTGGTGGAGAACTTTGGACAGATTGTCGTGGTATTGAGTGCAAGTTGGGTCGTTGCGTCACGTCGGACCAATTTGTCCTCGTAGAGTTGCCTCTGGAACTAATTACGGGAATATCTTGGACTCACGACAGCACTATTCCAATGCGAAAGTTTTCTCTTGAAGCTGCAGAACTCTTTTCTTCAGGCACTTCATTCTGAATAACAAGTGTGTCAGTTGAATCATTTGTCAACTAGTGACGAGGTTTTGCAAGTTGCACGAAAACAGATTGTATGTTTCTCTGAGGGAGCATAATAGGATCGTGATACAATACGTTGGCCTCTTTAATGTAATGGCTCTGGATGGGGTTGGATAATTTTATCGAGCAAACTCTGGCTAGCTTACGATATATACGGAGTTGCTGCCAGGTGTTTCTGCGCTGCGGTTTGTGGCCTAAAGACCCGTGGAGAGATTTTTTTTTCCAAGGCGTGAAAATTGCGCCCGCCATTTACCACCCGTAGTGTAAAATGAGGCGAAACTGCGATTGTGGGAATTGAAATGATCGTTTACACCAAAGTTTTTGGCATGCTTCATATCATGTCGGATTCACCATGACTTGAATTATGGAAAACTGACAAAACGCGGAACATTTGAAATTAATACAACTGAATTCTACTGAATATGCAAGGGAGATAAATGTTTGAATTACAATGGTAGCCCTTGACATGTATATTCGAGATCTGTTGAAAATTCATAAAGTATCTTATGGAACGTGAAACAAAGGGAAATCCTTGTTTATAATATTTAATACTCCATCCGTCCTTGTCCGCGGAATAACTCTCTCGCAGAATTACACCATTACCGTTATTGAAAAGTAAATTAATTTTTTTTTAGAATGTTCTGCGAGAGCTGGAGCAGAAGAAGCCACAGCTGGATGAGCTTGTACACACTGCGGAGAATCTCCGAGCTGATACCAATCGCCAACAATTGCACGGAAAGGGTAAGTCACTTAGAGAATATTGGTTTTCTTCGTTTGTATCAGTTACGTTGGGTTGCACGAGCAGACCTCTGCTCAGGAATTGCGTCGTTGAGTTGCTCGGTTATAATGACGGAAAATCGTGGGTTGAATGATTGCTGCTTGTATTTGCACAACATGTGAAGATGAAGTTCCTGGAAAAGCTACTGAGCTTTGTACAGCAAGCGTAATTAATAGGAGACTCACAGGAGATATCGAACCTTTTTGAACGGGTTGAGATCGTCCTCCTGTATATAATTATTGACCTTCTAGAACAATAAAATATCAATGAAGTTTTTTCATTGATGAATCTTCATAGAGTGATCATAGAGGAAATCAGAATGTAATATTTACGAAACAGGAGAGGTCCGTCATTTCTGCATTGAATTAGATAATTTAGAAATTGGAGTATAGTTGAAACTCCGAGACGTCATAGTCACAACAGGGAACTTGCATGTTTTTTAATTTTTTTTCTTCAAATATATGCCCCCAAGAACTCATATTTGATACGAAAACACACGGAAAATAGTTTAATAATTATTTATTTGCTTTTAAAAATTGAATTTTTTAAACGTTCTAAAAAGGCCTGTGACGTCAACTCACCGGAGGCCGAAATTTTCGTGTGGCGCCGTCAAGCGGTTCAGTACAGCTGCTGAAATCTAGGAAAATACTCTGTACATGTATTTGGCTCCAAAATGTCAGAAAAACTGGATCGAGTTATGAAAGTTCCTTATAAATATTGTTTTGTACCAGGATGTAAAAATACAACAGTGAAAATTATACAATCACGACTTTCGACACTTTGACACAGATTTAAACCCATAAAATCTATCAACATAGTCACGTCTACCGTTGGTAAATTCCCCGAGCACGCCTTTTGAAAATCATTTTTCAGCACAAACTTCATTTGTCAGCGCCAATATATTTTTTTTATCCACTTTTAATAATTGTTCCAAACATAACCCCCTCGATTTATTTTGGTTGAACGTCTCGCACTTTGAGAGGCTAGAATAACTCAATAGCGCTGCTAGTAGTCGCAAGGGGAACTTGATTCCGGTGAGTTAACGTCATGACCCCAAAAAAGTGTTCAAAACTGATGCATTTTTAATCAGTTATTACAAAATATCCGGGCCACCTTTCGGAAAACTTTTTACTCTGCAATGGTTCCTAGACTACAAAGACTCTATTCATTTAAAAATATTCGTAAAGTGGACTCTATGCAAGTTCCCTATTCCATTCTTTACTGAAGTGATAAAAGATAACACATAACCATGGAATCCCTATAAGACCTGTTACCATTTACCACTTCATGACTAAATTTTACTTTGCGGTTAGTGAATTTTTACTGTGCCGTTACAGCGTTTTTACACTGCTCTTCATCCCATTGGTGTTCGTATACCTTTTGTCACGCTGCTACGGAATTTTTTGTGGAAGGCTCAACAAGGATTCACTCGTAGCATGACAATTTCTACTCGAGTATCTGTGCCTCGATTATTACACAGCACGATGATTTTTCCTGGATTTTCTATAAAAGAAATTCTGTGATTTCCCTCTTTGTGTATATCGAAGTGTATGATGGTAGTTGGTGGCAGATTTTTTGAAACTACGGCCTCATTCATATGTACCCTTACCCTCCAGAATTGGATCTAACGAGGCTGTAATTATTTTTAGTGGTCGTTAATTCCGTTCTACGAGTAATGGGTCCAACGAGTTTTCCATGTCTCCCAATTTTGGTCGTTCAAATTCACATGTTACTCGCTTTCCATGGACATGGGATCGAGGTAATTCCGGGGGTACTGTCATTCTTCTCGTATAATGGGATTACCCATATCTGCGTAAAAAACGAGCCGAACATTATCCGGAGAGTGGCATCAATTGCGTTGAGTCATTATTCTTGTCATTGAGATTATCATGCTCTCCAGAATAATAATGCTGGGTATAGGTATTACTGCGATATTGATGTTGAACAATTCAGCATCAAGTATCCTATAAGCGCTATGATGCTGTAGTTTAGCATCAACCGCCTATCGTCTAATCGCGTTGTGTTGAGCAGTTTAAGTTAAGGATAGTTTTCCTACGGTCTTAAGATTGCATGCGGAAGTCCAAGAGGCTAGTGGGTACACATTCTGGGATTATATAACAAAACTACAGATTCTATCCTAGTGAATTCAATAATCGACTGGACTGGACAATCGAGGCGGTTCTTCAAATCATTGGTGTCGCATGGAATCTGATAAACCTCGTTATTTCTCATTATAGATATGCAAGGGAAATTAAAATAGTACTTGTTTCTCATACACATGGAATTGATTGAACTCCAGGCGTAATACCATTTTTCCAATTTTCTGTCTCGGATAACGGAATTAACCATATCCGCTCAAATAACGAGCTAAATATTATTCTGAAAGTGGCGTTAATTGTGTTGAGTATCTATAATGATTTTTGTCATTGGATTATCATCCTCTTCAGAATTATACTGCTGCATAAACTCATTATTGCGATATTGATAATGAAAAATGTAGCGTCAAGTACAAGGAGAAAAGTGAATGGTAGGGGTTACTTTTGTATGGTAGAGGTTACCATAAATTATGGTAAAAGGGTTTCTAAGTCAATCTCAATAGTAATTTTTACTACGTTCAACAGTAAAGCGTACTATGTTGTATAGTAATCACTACCATTCGAACATGGTAGGCTTACTACACAATATAGCAACGACAGCAATTATTATAGGAGAGATTACCATGTGGATAGTAATCAGTACTATTTATACATGGTAATCTCTCCTTTTCTCGATATCGTAGAAAATACTAAAAATAGCAATCAAGGCACAATTAAAATTGAATTATCGGTTCCTCATCAACAAGTCTTTACCACCACCTTTTCTCCCTGGTCCAGTTCTTAACAAGAGATTAGAATTAGATCCAAATTATCGTCATTTTCTGCCAGTTCTCCCGTCCAATCGATCTGGAGATATTACAATAGTAAGCTCTCTCAATTATTTGGGACATGATATCAGGGAAAACGTAATATTGATGATGCCGACCGAGGCTGGTCCTCAATTACATTTGATCAATATCGTAATCCTAGAGCCAAATAATCAAGTTATTCTTGTTACTCAACAATTACAAGAATACTCCTTTGAAAGACATTTCCAATCCTATGAAATTGATATAAATGATAAGAGGTGGTCGGCATTGACATTTCGACAACTGAAATTTTGTATCCTATCGTATATAGCTACCTCCGGGAATGGAAAGTAATACGTTCCGAAACGTTGGGTCTAAATTCTCACGCAAAGTTGTTGAGTTTAATTACTCACATTTGAATTTTTTAATAATTTTTATAGCACCATCATGCCAAAAATTCTTCCAATGATTGGGTAAAATTTGGGGCGAAAAATCCCACTATTCTGTAGATATGTATATTCTAATATTAAAATACAGATGTAAATATGTTATTGTTAAATATGATCCTTACGATATTCGATAT